CTCATGAATAAGATAAGATATAGTGCATCTAGTTAACACAAAACTCCTTATTAATTCACTATACACCTTAGCTAAAATTAAATTTATGTTGATTTGGTATCATAAACGTATTTTCATCAATTAATAACTATTTGACATTCGATCAAAGAATAAGAATATGTAATCCTTTTCAAGTTGTATGTCTATCTATTCAGAAAAGGGTACCATAAAGGGGAAACTTTGTCCATGTTCCGGGGTTTACAAAGATTGGGTTTTCTGTAAATATTTTGCCTAGAATAACCTAATGATGGTGCTACAAATGCTGAAAAAATCTTTGGCTTCAGAGCAGAGGGGAATCCATATGGTCATTTGTATATTTGTTTAGCATAGGCTTATTGTAATTTCAATCCCTGTAGTACGTAATACTATGCACACTTTCAAGAAAACGTAGCATAGCATACTTTTTAGATATATAATAATATTATATTGAGAAAAAAAAATTGCACAAAGATTAAAAATCACATTAACCATAATCCGTTTTCAGGAGAGACTATTTTCACACAGCCTCAACCGAGGTAAAAGTTCAATGAAGTAGACTCTGACACTAAAATCAATAAAAAAAAACAAAAACAAAAAAAAAAAACAAAAAAAAACCGTAATCAACCAAGGCAGTTGTAAAAAAAGACGCTCATTTTGAATTGCCTTGTCAACTTTATAACTATGCGACCAAAACAACGCATTGGAACCTTAAAATGTATACTGATATTGTCTCAACTTGAGAAAAACACATTAACTTGGCAAGGGTTTGTAATTTTGAGGCAGTAGTGGGTAATTTCCTTCAGTTGTGTATACAATTAAATATAATATTAAATAATTAAAAAGTAATTTGGGATAACACACCAAAGTAGAATCTCAGTCAAATTTGTGTTTTTCTGTTTTATACATAGTTTAAAAAAAACAACAAAAAAACATAATATAATCCTTATTGAAGTACTTATGCGGTCCTATCACTGCATGGTTTATAAGATGTTGCAAATTGTCAATTGTAGGTTCTGACGAAAGATGCAAATTACACAGCCACAGGGACGTATCCAGGGTGGGGGGAGCCGTGGCTCCCCCCCCCCCCTTTGTACACAGTGTTAAAATGTTAAAGCTTATTCTTGATCCAATACAATTCTTTCCTAGGATCACTCAAAATGAATACTTCTAAATCATGTAAATATGCATCAGTACACGTTATACAAAGGCCTAATAGAACACATAGGCCTAAGCGAAAAACATATTAAATCCATAATTCTCAGGCCAGGTCTTTTAAGATAGAAATGCGATACTGTGGTTTAATTTCGTTTTTATCCTTTTCCAAGTTTCTTTAAATTCTTGTTTAATAATACTACTACTAATAGGCCTAGTAATAATAATAATAGCAATGATGATGATGATGACGATAGTAATAATTGATAGTAATATTAATAGCAATAAAAAATGAAGAAAATTGTGCTAAATGCGAAAAAAAAGTTCAAAATATAGTATAACTAGATTTGAACTCGTCACTGAGGACGAGTTTGGTGATCCGCCGTACTTTGACCCTCATGAAGCGCGCGCAGTGCTGATTGAAACGTTTCACAATATGCTAAAATATGCTGTAATTAGTTTTTTTTTTAAAAGAATAATTGTGAGCATTTAAAAGATTTCCGCATGCGTACACGCACGTCTTGACGCCCGTGAGCACGGTAATGTCACAAAGAGTGACTCCTGACAGTGTCAGGAACACAAAATATGTAACAAATCGTAATTTCCCGCTTTGGTATGTGCTGTGTGCGTGGAAATGAACGTACGGCGGGTAAATTATGGAAGGTTTTGAAATGCTGAAAATGACCCGAAACGTTCTTTAAACTATCTGAATAGTAATATGGAGAATTTTCAAATTTTAACAGACACGCATGTCAATATGTGTGCGTGTACAGTAATAGCACACGAAATTAAACATTGTCAAGTGTATTTAAAACCGCCTGTTAGTTGGTAATGCCACACGAACTTTCCCTTCATATAACCTATAGTATATATTAGTCTGATAGCGTCGAAATACAGTTTGCCGCCCTCATCTGTTCTATTTTTTTTACATCTTTTAAGAATGAGAGATAAAAGGGCTCCAAAAAATCTTTCTTTTTGACCATGCTGACGTGATCAAAATGAAAAATAAAGGGACACGTCTTAAAGAGAATTGATTTAGCTATAACATACTCACAGGTGGGAGACAATCAATCAAGAATAAGCGAGATACGTTCAAACGAGTATAAACATAATGGCATGATAACTAAAAAAATTTTAATTCAAATGGCAATATGATGACGTCACAATGTCCGATCAGCCATTATGAAGTAAAAAATCGTATCTACAACTCATGTGCTTTCAGATTATGTAATAAAAATTGTGGGTCACCTTTCATCCTAAGGAGCTATAACTGATTAAAAATTTTCATGGTTTTATGCATATATAAATGTTGACGCACGCGTACGTGCACGCTAAAAATCGCGAACGGAAAATTAAGGTACATAACATTCAACCTTGACCTGAAGCTTATGCTCACCTAATATGATTTAGAAATGACCAATGGTTAAGATTATATGGGCTCATCAACGTTTTGAAGAAAGAGAAATGAGGGGGTCAGAAAAAACAATTTTTTGACCATGATGACGTCATCAAAATGTAAAAAGAAGTCAATTATATGAAAGAGAATTGTCTCAGCTATAACATAATCAAAGTTGGAAGACGATCGATCAAGGATAAGCGAGATACGCTCAAATGCCTATTTTCAAAAATGACGTCATAGCTATAATTCACTTTCTTTGAATTCAGACGCCAATATGATGACGTCACAATGTCCGATCAGCCATTATGATCTATAAAATCATATTTACAACTTATGTGCTTTCAGAATATGTAATAAAAAGTG